TAACCTTTTATTTTTTAAAACTCCCCAGGAGGTGTAAAGGATAAAAAAAACATTACGTAAAATGCGTAAAACCACAAGTGCAAAAAAAATGAATTAACGGACAAAAGGCAGCAGGTTCCCACCACGCAGGGAATAAATATTTAAATTTTGCCTTTCATATAGTTAAAAAAAGCTCATAAAAAATTTAATTTTTTTTTTATTATTTTTTTTTTTTTACCACAGGGGGATTCCCACCAAGGGGGGGGCCCGAAAAAGAAAAAATTTTTCCTATTCACTCCTCACTTCTTGCCCGAAGGGTGCTTTACATACAGTTTTTTAAAATGCAAAAATTAAAACCCCCCCTTCAGAGTGCAGCACTGATTCCCTCTCCCGGACCAAGTCCCCGGCCTGCCAGTTTTCCTGAACCCCTTATAAAGTTACTTTTCTCACACTCAACAGACGTCAAATATTAACCCTTTTATGTCGCACTCCAATCCTGAGGTGTTCCCGGTGTCGCAAAATTTCAAAAAAAAAAAAAATTATTTTTTCTTATGAAATGATAAGAGAATCTTTTCCCGATTGTAATGACACCAAAAAAAAAACGAAATTTGATGGAAAACTGACGGAATTATGCTCTCGCGAAGTTAGCGACCTCGGCGCTGTTTACAAATCGGCGATATCGCCCACTTTGAGCCCTATTTTCAGCTAATTCCATTATTCCAGTCGCCCAAACTCATAGCTATTTCTTTAGAACTCCATTTTTTTCTATCGATTGAGTACAAAAAACTGCCCATTTACCGATTTCAACTACCTAATAATGTGGTCAGAAATTTGCAATTTGGCCAATTTCACGAAAACTAAAAAATAATTTCAAAATAAGGTCCAGAATGAACAATGCAGACATTCCTGGCTCTAAAATAACTTTTTTTGCTCATCATTCATGTCTCCAGGCCCCTCTAATATTACTCTTGCTTTCTATTTTGAATTTTTATTCAAACAAAAAATAGAAGACTTACTATTATGCAGACTACTGCAATACTGTAAAATTGTATAAATAACATCAACCCATTCATGACTGCATATTAGAATGGCTAGTTGGACATTTATTGGACAATGACATCATTTGTTTACTTTTGAACATTGGCAAAAATCAAACATTTCCCCAACTTTGAGCTCCATTTCTAGGTTCTTTTTATAGTAAAATCAATCAAAATCCCTCTATTTCTATATATGTTTTTCCATTCTATAAAATGAGACCAAGAAAACGAGAATACAACCATAAATACTATACGAAAATAGACCACAAAGTCGGCATTTTAATTAAAAAAAAAGGTTGGAGTTTTTTTTTCTCATTATGCACTGTGTGCTCCAGGATTTTTTTTATATGGTGCACACTGACCACACAGACCCATTCTCTCACATGTGGGCCTACCAGCATTCTCCTGCTTGATTTGAAGCCGCTAGAATTTGAGTATATATACGTCAAACACGGTACCTCGTAAGACGAATATATACGGCCGCGACAGTCAAAGGGTTAAAAACCATTTGTCTCCATTCACTCCGATCAAACACGCTCACGCATGCCTGCTGGAAGTCCAAGCCTCTCACACACAAAACCTCCTTTACCCCCTCCCTCCAACCTTTCCTAGGCCGACCCCTACCCCGCCTTCCTTCCACTACAGACTGATACACTCTTGAAGTCACTCTGTTTCGCTCCATTCTCTCTACATGTCCGAACCACCTCAACAACCCTTCCTCAGCCCTCTGGACAACAGTTTTGGTAATCCCGCACCTCCTCCTAACTTCCAAACTACGAATTCTCTGCATTATATTCACACCACAATTGCCCTCAGACATGACATCTCCACTGCCTCCAGCCTTCTCCTCCCCTGCAAATTCATCCCCCATGCTTCACACCCATATAAGAGCATTGGTAAAACTATACTTTTCATTACATTCCCTTTTTCCCTCCAAGGACAAAGTTCTTTGTCTCCACAGACTCCTAAGTGCACCACTCACCCTTTTCCCCTCATCAATTCTATGATTCAAACCCCATCTTTCATAGACCCATCGCTGACAAGTCCACTCCCCAAATATCTGAATACATTCACCTCCTCCATACTCTCTCCCTCCAATCTGATATCCAATCTTTCCTCACCTAATCTTTTTGTTATCACCTTACTCTTTCCTGTATTCACTTTTAATTTTCTTTTTTTGCACACCCTACTAAATTCATCCACCAGTCTCTGCAACTTCTCTTCAGAATCTCCCAAGAGCACAGTGTCATCAGCAAAGAGCAACTGTGACAACTCCCACTTTGTTTGATTCATTATCTTTTAACTCCATGCCTCTTGCTAAGACCCTCGCATTTACTTCTCTTACAACCCCATCTATAAATATATTAAACAACCACGGTGACATCACACATCCTTGTCTAAGGCCTACTTTTACTGGGAAATAATTTCCCTCTTTCCTACATACTCTAACTTGAGCCTCACTATCCTCGTAAAAACTCTTCACTGCTTTCAGTAACCTACCTCCTACACCATACACCTGCAACATCTGCCACATTGCCCCCCTATCCACCCTGTCATATGCCTTTTCCAAATCCATAAATGCCACAAAGACCTCTTTAGCCTTATCTAAATACTGTTCACTTGTATGTTTCACTGTAAACACCTGGTCCTCACACCCCCTACCTTTCCTAAAGCCTCCTTGTTCATCTGCTATCCTGTTCTCCGTCTTACTCTTAATTCTTTCAATAATAACTCTACCATACACTTTACCAGGTATACTCAACAGACTTATCCCCTATAATTTTTGCACTCTCTTTTGTCCCTTGCCTTTATACAAAGGAACTATGCATGCTCTCTGCCAATCCCTAGGTAACTTACCCTCTTCCATACATTCATTAAATGATTGCACCAACCACTCCAAAACTATATCCCCACCTGCTTTTAACATTTCTATCTTTATCCCATCAATCCCGGCTGCCTTACCCCTTTCATTTTACTACTGCCTCACGAACTTCCCCCACACTCACAACTGGCTCTTCCTCACTCCTACAAGATGTTATTCCTCCTTGCCCTATACACGAAATCACAGCTTCCCTATCTTCATCAACATTTAACAATTCCTCAAAATATTCCCTCCATCTTCCCAATACCTCTAACTCTCCATTTAATAACTCTCCTCTCCTATTTTTAACTGATAAATCCATTTGTTCTCTAGGCTTCCTTAACTTGTTAATCTCACTCCAAAACTTTTTCTTATTTTCAACAAAATTTGTTGATAACATCTCACCCACTCTCTCATTTGCTCTCTTTTTACATTGCTTCACCACTCTCTTAACCTCTCTCTTTTTCTCCATATACTCTTCCCTCCTTGCATCACTTCTACTTTGTAAAAACTTCTCATATGCTAACTTTTTCTCCCTTACTACTCTTTACATCATCACTCCACCAATCGCTCCTCTTCCCTCCCGCACCCACTTTTCTGTAACCACAAACTTCTGCTGAACACTCTAACACCTACCCCATACCTCTTCGACCCCATTGCCTATGCTCTCATTAGCCCATCTATCCTCCAATAGCTGTTTATATCTTACCCTAACTGCCAACTCTTTTAGTTTATAAACCTTCACCTCTCTCTTCCCTGATGCTTCTCTTCTCCTTGTATCCCATCTACCTTTTACTCTCAGTGTAGCTACAACTAGAAAGTGAACTGACATATCTGTGGCCCCTCTATAAACATGTACATCCTGAAGTCTACTCAACAGTCTTTTATCTACCAATACATAATCCAACAAACTACTGTCATTTTGCCCTACATCATATCTTGTATACTTATTTATCCTCTTTTTCTTAAAATATGTATTACCTATAACTAAACCCCTTTCTATACAAAGTTCAATCAAAGGGCTCCCATTTTTCATTTACACCTGGCACCCCAAACTTACTACCACACCCTCTAAAAGTTTCTCCTACTTTAGCATTCAGACCCCCTCCCACAATTACTCTCTCACTTGGTTCAAAGGCTCGTATACATTCACTTAACATCTCCAAAATTCTCTCTCTCCTCTACATTCTCTCTTCTCCAGGTGCATACTCGCTTATTATGACCCACTTTTCGCATCCAACCTTTACTTTAATCCACATAATTCTTGAATTTACACATTCATATTCTCTTTTCTCCTTCCATAACTGATCCTTCAACATTACTGCTACCCCTTCCTTTGCTCTAACTCTCTGAGATACTCCAGATTTATTCCCCATTTATTTCCCCACCGAAACTCCCCTACCCCTTGAGCTTTGTTTCACTTAGGGCCAGGACATCCAACTTCTTTTCATTCATAACATCAGCAATCATCTGTTTCTTGTCATCCGCACTACATCCACGCACATTTAAGCATCCCAGTTTTATAATGTTTTTCTTCTTCTCTTTTTTAGTAAATGTCTACAGGAGAAGGGGTTACTAGCCCATTTCTCCTGGCATTTTAGTCGCCTCATACGACACGCATGGCTTACGGAGGAAAGATTCTTTTCCACTTCCCCATGGACAATAGAAGAAATAAAGAAGAACAAGAGCTATTTAGAAAAAGGAGAAAAACCTAGATGTATGTATATATATATGCATGTGCGTGTCTGTGAAGTGTGACCAAAGTGTAGGTAGGAGTAGCAAGATATCCCTGTTATCTAGTGTGTTTATTTTTTTTTAATTTTTTCTAACATGTTGGCTGTCTCCCACCAATGTAGGGTGATCCAAAAAAAATGAAACACTTTCACCATCATTCACACTATCACTGTCTTGCCAGAGGTGCACAGGTACAACAGTTCAGATGTCCCTCTAAGCATCAAATATCCCCACTCCTCCAAAATGCAGGACTCGAGTCCAGCTAACTGGTTTCCCTGAATCCCTTCACAAAGTGTTACTTTGCATCTATGGCCAGATATTCCTTTCACAATTTATCTGTTCATCTTTTTGCAAAAATACTGAATTATTATCATTGCTATTTTTTCCAGATATGGGCTTCAGGAATGTATTGGGATCGTGGCAAATTTACAAACCAGACACTGTTTGCTCCGCTGGCTTACAAAACAATACTTAACACTCGTAAATATTCAATGGAGGATCTGGCCCGGCTGAACTCTACACGTGATGTCTACGTTAACAAGCCCTGGTTTAGGTAGGGTGATGCCTCCACTACAATAATAATCTTTCTTCTTTCAAATTCACTTAGGGGTGAAGAGGAGTGACCACTAAAGCAGATTGATGAGATTGTTTTTCCTTTATTGTAACAAACGAGGACAACTTGGAAAATCAAATAGGGGACATTTCTGATTTAATGTTTTTTTCCGTTAAATCCAAAATGAGTTTACCCAGTGGATTGTAATAATGGACAGTTCTGGAATTAATAGACTTGTTTCTGAACGTTGTCCATCAAATATGAAATTCATTAAATTCTGGTCCATTACCTGGAGAGAGGTTACCTGGAGAGAGTTTCGGGGGTCAATGCCCCCGCGGCCCGGTCTGTGACCAGAGTCAGAGTTTCACAATATTTCCTTATAGGCTCACTGGGAAAAGTTCATTAATTGTACATGAATTACCTTTCCACCTCATCACAGATATATGAGCTAGTAATAACAATCATGTGTCATTTATTGTATACAGCCTCTCCTCACTTAGCGATGTACTTGTTTACCGACGCCTTGGACTTTCAACAGGCTCTCTGACCAGTATGCTTACCTAAATAATGTATATTAGAGCTGATTTCCTCTGTTCTGTTTATTACAGTATTCAGTTAACTACTGTATAAACATTTAAAAATATACCAGAAATCTTATAAGTGGTGCAAAGGTGACATTAAAACAATAACAAAGATGGATGACACAAACCCACTACCATTATAGTATGCTCCTCACTTAGCGACGAATTCATTTATCTACTTGGTCTTAAGAACGGAACTCCGTCGTTAAGTGAGAAGAGGCTGTATTGACTTATATTTTTATTTAACTTCTCCCTTGCAGTCATAGGCAATTTTTGTACAATGAAATGTTTATGCTGGATACAAGGGCAAGATGCCAGCGGGATGGAATAATAGACAATGGCCTCTTTAAGTTTTAAACGCACTCTTTCAATGCATTTTCAACATCACATAGTTAAAAAAAAATCTCCATCTTTTTGACATGACTTAAATTTATGGAAAAATATTGCATGCTAAGGGGTGTTTTACCTGTGCCTTGTGCCCATGCTACAGGTACAGCCACTTGGGCAGGGTGCCCCAAAAAGTAAAACTGAAGTTTCTCTTTTTAAATTCAATAATTTATACAGGAGAAGGGGTTACTAGCCCCATGCTCCTGGCATTTTAGTTGCCTCTTATGAAACATATGGCTTATTGAGGGAGAATTCTGTTCTACTTCTCCCATTGTTTTGGTGAGATTAATTTGGTGCCAAGGTATATAGTGTAGGATGCTAATAGAGTAGTTGTGTGAGGGAAGGATATTGTGAGAGTAGAAGATCCTGCTGTCCTCCATTCACCCACTGACGTGTCCAGTATGCAGGCAGCATCAGTGGTTGCTATCACAGTTAAACAGAATAATGCAGTAATTTAATTTACAGTTTTTAAGCAATCTCATGCATAAAAAAGGATCTCTCTAAACATTATACGAAACACGCACACTCAAAATACCAGTGCATTTAACCCTTTCACTGTTGGTGTCGTATTAGTACGGCATGCAAGCCAGTGTTGGTGCCGTATTAATACAACAAAATTCTAGCGGGAGAAAGATGGTAGACCTACATGTGAGAGAATGCGTCTGCGTGGTCAGTGTGCGCAGTATAAAAAAAAAATCCTGCAGCACGCAGTACATAATGAGAAAAAAAAAACTCCATATGGTATTTATGGTTGTATTCTCGTTTTCTTGGTCTCATTTGACAGAATGGAAGATATATTACCTTGAAATTGAGCTCAAAGTAGCAGAAATGTTGATTTTTGCTGATGTTCAAGAGTAAACAAATGACATCACCATCCAATATGTGTCCAGCTGGCCAGTTTAATACGCAAACATGAATGGGTTGACATTATTTATACAATTATTACAATTAGGCAGTAGTTTGCAATACAGTAAATCTATTTTTTGTGTGAATAAAAATTCAAAATGGAAAGCAAGAGTAATGTAAGAGAGGCCTGCAGATGTGACTCATGAACAGAGAAAATTTTATTTTAGTGCCAGGAATATCTGCATTGTTTATTCTGGACCCTGTTTTGAAATTGGCATCTTTCAAAATTTTAAACAGAGGTACACTGGACCCTCGTTTTTTGTAAGCATCGAAAGTTGTAATTTTCGAAAATCATAATTTTTTTCGTCAAAATATTGACTCGCAAATCATCGTTTGACTCGCAAATAGTCATTCATCTCAGACGCGCATGCACAGCCCCAAGCGGCCCTACACATCATTCACAGCCAGTGTGCCATTGCTTATCAGCGAGTGAGGATGATCTCACGCATTCATATGATACATTTTGTAATATTCCAATCGTTTTAGTGCTTGCAACTGCTAAATAAGCCACCATGGCCCCAAAGAAGGTGAGAAACATGATAGAATTCAAGAAAGAGCTTGTAGCAAACTACCAAAGTGGAGGAAGAAGAGAGACGGGAGAACGTACCTTATTCAGTGATTCTACGATATGTATGATACTAAAGCAGCATGAGACGATAAAGGCAATAGTGCCAGTCAGCGATAAAGTGTAGCCTTAACAGTGTAACAAGTAAGTTAAGTTAATAATCGATAGAAAAAGGACAGCATGAACCTAATTCCTCCAGTGTTGTTGGAGTTATACAGGGCTATTGACAACACCGCCGCCTCCACCACCACTATGTACGGCTTATGCTCTCAGTGGCCCTTATACACCCAGCAACAAAACACAGCACCACTCGTGACATACGTAATGACATTTTTTATTCAATCTAGGGTTTGTGTTATGTTTCTATGTTATTAATATTGTTTTTTTATGTCATATTAGATGAAATGTGATATATAAATAAGCCGTAGAATTGATATTAGTGTCATATTGAAGGAGAGGGGTGGGATTAAATTATGGGGAATTAAATACAAAATGGGAATTGACACAGTTGCTTTTTGCTGATGATACTGTGCTTATGGGAGATTCTAAAGAAAAATTGCAAAGGTTAGTGGATGAGTTTGGGAGCGTGTGTAAAGGTAGAAAGTTGAAAGTGAACATAGAAAAGAGCAAGGTGATGAGGGTATCAAATGATTTAGATAAAGAAAAATTGGATATTAAATTGGGGAGGAGGAGTATGGAAGAAGTGAATATTTTCAGATATGTACTTGGGAGTTGACGTGTCGGCGGATGGATTTATGAAGGATGAGGTTAATCATAGAATTGATGAGGGAAAAAAAGGTGAGTGGTGCGTTGAGTTATATGTGGAGTCAAAAACGTTATCTATGGAGGCAAAGAAAGGAATGTATGAAAGTATAGTAGTACCAACACTCTTATATGGGTTGTGAAGCTTGGGTGGTAAATGCAGCAGCGAGGAGATGGTTGGAGGCAGTGGAGATGTCCTGTCTAAGGGCAATGTGTGGTGTAAATATTATGCAGAAAATTCGGAGTGTGGAAATTAGGAGAAGATGTGGAGTTAATAAAAGTATTAGTCAGAGGGCTGAAGAGGGGTTGTTGAGGTGGTTTGGTCATTTAGAGACAATGGATCAAAGTAGAATGACATGGAGAGCATATAAATCTGTAGGGGAAGGAAGGCGGGGTAGGGGTTGTCCTAGAAAAGGTTGGAAGGAAGGGGTAAGGGAGGTTTTGTGGGCTAGGGGCTTGGACTTCCAGCAGGCGTGCATGAGCGTGTTCGATAGGAGTGAATGGAGACGAATGGTATTTGGGACCTGACGATCTGTTGGAGTGTGAGCAGGGTAATGTTTAGTGAAGGGATTCAGGGAAACCGGCTATTTTTGTATAGCCGGACTTGAGTCCTGGAAATGGGAAGTACAATGCCTGCACTCTTAAAGGAGGGGTTCAGGATATTAGCAGTTTGGAGGGATATGTTGTGTATCTTTATACGTATATGCTTCTAGACTGTTGTGGTCTGAGCACCTCTGCAAAAACAGTGATTATGTGTGAGTGAGGTGAAAGTGTTGAATGATGATGAAAGTATTTTCTTTTTGGGGATTTTCTTTCTTTTTGGGTCACCCTGCCTCGGTGGGAGACGGCCAACTTGTTAAAAAAAAAAAAAAATTGGACTGTCTTGTCCTGCCTTCAAACACACTCCCCTGCCTCTGCCACAATTCCTAACATACGTAATGACATATTTTATTCGTACACCAACAAGAGTCTTCAATAAAGGAAAGTGTGATGTGTTATTGTTTTATTCTTCATGTCTCATTATTTTCTATGTGTGTAAATCTGTATTTCATGTAAAAAAAATATTTTTTTGTTAATAGGGAAGCTGTGATTTTGCGTATATGGCAAGGAGGAATGACATCTTATAGGAGTGAGGAAGAACCAGTTGTGAGTGTGGGGGAGGTGCGTGGGGCAATGAGTAGAATGAAAGTGGTTAAAGCAGCTGGGATTGATGGGATAAGATAGAAATGTTAAAAGCAGGTGGAGATATAGTTTTGGAGTGGTTAGTGCTCTTATTTAATAAATGTATGGAAGAGGGTAAGGTACCTAGGGATTGGCAGAGAACATGCATAGTTCCCTTGTATGAAGGTGAAGGGGACAAAAGAGAGTGTAAAAATGTTAGGGGAATAAGTCTATTGAGTATACCTGGTAAAGTGTATGGTAGAGTTATTGTTGAAAGAATTAAGAGTAAGATGGAGAGCTGGATAGCAGATGAACAAGGAGGCTTTAGGAAGGGTAGGGGGTGTGTAGACCAAGTGTTTGCAGTGAAACATAGGTGAACAGTATTTAGATAAAGGTAAAGAGGTTTTTGTGGCATTTATGGATTTGGAAAAGGCATATGATAGGGTAGATAGGGGGGCAATGTGGCAGATGTTGCAAATGTATGGAATAGGAGGTAGGTTATTGAAAGCAGTGAAGAGTCTTTACGAGGATAGTGAGGCTCAGGTTAGAGTATGCATGCGAGAGGGAGATTATTTCCCAGTAAAAGTAGGTCTTAGACAGGGATATGTAATGTCACCACGGTTGTTCAATATATTTATAGATGGAGTAGTAAGAGAAGTGAATGCTCGGGTGTTGGCAAGAGGTGTGGGGTTAACAGATAAAGAATCTAACACCAACTGGGAGTTGTCACAGTTGCTGTTTACTGATGACTGTGCTTTTGGGAGATTCTGAAGAGAAGTTGTAGAGGTTGGTTGATGAGTTTGATAGGGTATGTAAAAGAAGGAAATTAAAAGTGAATATAGGAAAGAGTAAGGTGATGAGAATAACAAAAAAATTAGGTAATGGAATATTGGATATCAGATTGGAGGGAGAGAGTATGGAGTCGGTGAATATTTGGGAGTGGATGTGTCAGCAGATGGGTCTATGAAAGATGAGGTGAATCATAGAATCGTTGAGGGGACAAAGGTGAGCAGTTCGCTGAGGAGTCTGTGGAGACAAAGAACTTTGTCCATGAAAGCTAAGAGGGGTATGTATGAGAGTATAGTTATACCAATGCTCTTGTATGGGTGTGAGGCATGGGTCGTGAATGTTGCAACAAGGAAAAGGCTGGAGGTAGTGGAGATGTCATGTCTGAAGGCAATGTGTGGTGTGAATGTAACGCAGAGAATCCATAGTTTGAAGATTATTAGGAGGTGTGGGATTACCAAAACTATTATCCAGAGGGCAGAGGAGGGGTTATTGAGATGGTTTGGACATGTAGAGAGGATGGAAAGAAATAGAATGACTTAGAGAGTGTATAAATCTGTAGTGGAGGGAAGGCAGGGTAGGGGTCGGCCTAGGAAAGGTTGGAGGGAGGGTGTAAAGGAGGTTTTGTGTGAAGGGGGCTTGGATTTCCAGCAAGCGTGTGTGCGCATGTTAGATAGGAACCAATGGAGACAAATGGTTTTTTAGGACTTGATGTGCTGTTGGAGTGTAAGCAAGGTAACATTTATGAAGGGGTTCAGGGAAACTGGCAGGCTGGACTTCATTCCTAGAGATGGGAAGTACAGTGCCAGCACTCTGAAGGAGGGGTGTTAGTGTTGCAATTTTATAACTGTAGTGTAAGCATGCCTCTGGCAATACAGTGATTGAGTGAATGATGATGACAGTTTTCCTTTTTCTGGTCACCCTGCCTTGGTGGAAATGGCCATTGTGTTAATAAATAAATAAAACTATTTTGAAATTGGCATCTTTTGAAATTGGTGTGAAATTAGCCAAATTGCCAATTTCTGACCACCATTGGGTAGTTGAAATTGGTAAATGGGCACTTTTGTGTACTCGATCGATAGAATAAATGGAGTTCTAGTGAAATAGCTATGAGTTTGGTCGACTGGAACAATGGAATTTGCCGAGAATAGGGCTCAAAGTGGGCGAAATCGCCGATGTATGTATATCGTCAAGACTGCTATCTTCGTGAGAGCTTAATTCTGTAAGTTTTCCATCAAATTTCAAACATTTGGTGTCATTACCATCGGAAAAAGTTTTATCATTTCATAAGAATTTTTTTTTTTTTTTAAATTCTTCGACACTGAGAGAAAATTTGTGAGCAAGGGTCTCGACAGTGAAAGGTTTAATAAAAACAAAACAGAATGCATTTCAGCCATAAGAAAATTGTACATATACGTATTTTAAATCCACATTTTTCCTGACACTTATAAATATGAGCTATCTATACCCACACAAAATGAATATTCACTAAGTAAGAATGCATTTGGTAAAAAAAAAAAAAATGGAAAAATTATTTACTTAAAATAATTTCAGATAAAATATTGGCAATGGTTGTAACTGCAGAGCAGCATAGTAAATAAGTTTATTCAGGTTAACACAAACACAGTTACATAGATTATCATACTTTTCTATGTAATTATGTAATTGGTTCCAAAGTGTCAATATTGTTATGATTGAATATAAGTCAGTGTCATGGTGTATGGGGAATTTCATAGGAACTATACAAGTAGCCTGAAAGGTAGTGAAGAAACTTCATGTTTGACCAAGTATTTTTTTTTTTTATTAACTCATAGGGTGTTTTCCACTGAGGCAGAGTGACCCAAATGAAGAAACACTTTTATCATAACTCATTCTACTGTCTTGTCAGAGGCATGCCAATAATACAGGTCAAAAACTGTAGCATATCTTCACCCCTCTGGCAGGTAGTGGTATAAAATACCAACAAGAGTAGACATAAAAGTACTACTGTATATGGAAACTTTATTGATGTCATTACAATCATGCAGAGGCTTGATTAATCCCTCTGTGAGTGAAACATCAGTGAAGCTTCCGTGTAACTGTACTTGTCTATTTCTCTTTGTGTTTGGTTATAGATGACAGCACCATTTTTCTCGGGTAAAATATAAATAGCAATTTTCACTAAATTTTGCAGAAAGCTCAAAAGTCGTTGGTCCACTAATTTTGATGACCTTGACAAGTTCTGGGTGAAGCTGAAGCTACGACACAATGCTACAGGCATGCACTCCATGAAGTATGAACATTACCCAACCTTCTACAAGTAAGTCCTGCTTGTACTTTTGAGATGTTTATTCATTTACCTTTGCTGCACTTTTTCTTGTTTCACAGTTAGTACAAGCTAAGACTGATCCTTCATTTTGACAGTGTGTGTCATTGCTTTTACTGTGTTCATGGGCTAAATGTTTTTGCAATGGCAGAATTCCTGGTCTTTTCTTTTTCATTACTGTCCAAAATGAATGGCAAGTCTCACAAACATCTACTTGTATTCCCTATGTACAGTAGAACCTCGATTTTCAAATTTAATTAATTCTAGATGTCAATTCGACAATCAAAGCAACTTTTCCCATAAAGAATAATATAAATAGAATTAACCGTTTCCAAACCCCAAATGACAATAATATACTAACTACTACATTAAACAATATATAAAATTATACAGCACAGGGAAACTTTAAAAATGAATACAAAATGAAAATTTAACTACCCCTTACCTGTCAGAGGAGAGCTAATGGCATGCTGGAAGCAGGAGGTGGAGGAGAGGAGGGATGTTACTGCTTGGAAGGAGAGTCACCTTCTGTTAATATGTCAGGCAACTGTCATTCTGGTGTTGTTTCTCTTCTTTGTGTCTTTTCAACAAACTCCTGCACTTCACACCATTTAGCTCACATTTCCTTGACAAGTGCTGTATCAACAACGTGGAGCCGCCATTTTCATACTTTCTAATAATTTCTTTTTTAAACTCAACAGTGCTTTTTGCACCTTTTTGCTTTCATCTCTTTATCCTTCTTTGGACCCATGATGGCTTATCTCACAATAAAAAAAAAATTGTACCAAAACCTCAAAATAACAAAAAATTTCATAGGATGCAAGACAAAAGTTCAAGAGATGTTTACAGCACATGAGTTAGTGGCTATACTGATTCATACCCACGTTCTCAACTCATTGTTTGTGTGCATTCCCTGAGCACCTGACCTGAGCTGCTTTGTCCTGTTCCGTACACGTGAGAGCTTGTTTGTTGACAACCAAGAGAACCTACGGAAATCAGGACATTTTTTCTCGAACACCTCATTCGAAAATCGATTTATTTGACAAGTAATGCAATCGACCACCAAGGTTCTATTGTAATTTTTTTTTTCTTCTTCTTTTTTTTTCCTGTGTGTTTCTTAATAGGTCTTAGTTTTGTAATATTACTTTTGCACCCTAGGAAGCATAGTCTGAGATTGGGCAATGATGATCCCAGAGCTGTTAACAGATGTATGAAAGCTGTGTTGCATTTCTTCATGACAATTGTAAACAAAAGTGATTAACATTTTGTCCAGTCAGTAAATTATTATGTATTATATTTCATGTTATACAATATATGCTTCATTTCATCTTCACCTTTTTATTTTCTCCTTTATGTATGTGCTGACACTTTAATATACATGATTTTCTATACCAGTATATAAATGTTTCCAGATGCTGTACTTGACCATAAGGTAGCCGGATATTTGGTTTGTTAGTAGACCTCAGCATTAAGATACCAGTGTTTGCCTTAATGCATGATGTATTATTAACAGTTTAATGTTATGGTTAATATTATCAGGTTGAATTTGTTTATTTTTGTACTTGTGCACATGTTCATGTGAATAGTTTAAATCATGTGGTAGAACTGCTGGTGTTGACGACATGGTGGGGCAGTAACTTGAAATTTAAAAAGTTCCATTATTTTTATTTTTATTTGTAAGTTTATAACTTTTTTATTGTTTATATAAAATGTTTTTTTTATTTTAGCTACCATTTTTCCCCCAGAGTTACTGTGTAGATTAAACCATACATGTGGAATATGCTTACAAGTTCTTAACCTTTTGACTGTTTTGGTCTTATATATACGTCTTACGAGCCACTGTTTTTGAAGTATATATACTCGTAAATTCTAGCGGCTTCAAATCAAGCAGGAGAAAGCTGGATAGCTCACATGTGAGAGAATGGGTCTGTGTGTCAGTGTGCACCATATAAAAAAAATCCTGGAGCACGCAGTGCATAATGAGAAAAAAAAACTGAGCGTTTTTTTTTTTAAATTAAAAAGCTGACTTTGTGGTCTATTTCCGTATAGTATTTATGGGTGTATTCTTGTTTTCTTGGTCTCATTTGATAGAATGGAAAACATATTATAGAAATAGAGGTGATTTTGATTGGTTTTACTATGAAAAGAACTTTAAAATGGAGCTCAAAATAGGAGGAATGTTTGATTTTTGCCAATGTTCAAAAGTAAACAAATGATGTCATTTACCAATAAATGTCCAAGTAGCCATTCTAATATGCAGTCATGAATGGGTTGACATTATTTATACAATTATTACAATATTGCAGTAGTCTGCAAAACAGTAAACCTTCTGTTTTTTGTTTGAATAAAAATTCAAAATAGAAAGCAAGAGTAATATCAGAGGGGCCTGGAGATGTGACTGATGAACAAAGAAAATGTTATTTTAGTGCCAGGAATGTCTGCATTGTTCATTGTGGACCTTATTTTGAAATTGTCATATTTTTTAATTTTTGTGAAATTGGCCAAATTGCAAATTTCTGACCACGTTATTGGGTAGTTGAAATCGGTAAATGGGCAGTTTCTTGTACTCAATCGATAGAAAAAATGGAGTTCTAAAGAAATAGCTATGAGTTTGGTCGACTGGAGCAATGGAATTAGTCGAAAATAGGGCTCAAAGTGGGCGAAATCGCCGATTCATAAATATCGCCGAGGTCGCTAACTTCGCGAGAGCGTATTCGTCAGTTTACCATCAAATTTGTTCTTTTGGTGTCATTCAATCAGAAGGATTCTTAACATTTCATTAGAAAAAAAGGGGGGGGGGGATTTGCGAACCCAGGAGCCCTCAGGTTTGGGGGTTGCGACAGTCAAGGAGTTAAACTGAGTGGACAAAGATAATGAAGGCTGTACATTAAAAATCAGGAGTTGATGGTGTGTTGTATCTTGTCTAAAGTGAGGTTGAATCGGTTCTGATGCTAAAGTTTGATTATTCTTCTTCAAAAACCAGCCATGCCCCACTGGGGCAGGTGCCCCAAAAAGAAAACATTTTTTCTTTTAATTTAAATTTATACAAAAAGGGTTTACTAGACCTTGTTCTCTGAGTTGATGTTCACACAGTAATTGTTATCGGTTTGGCATCAAATGATATGTTACAAAGTTAAAACTCAATTTACTGAAATTTTTACACAATACAGGCTATTAAATGGCATTCAATAAAATTGTATTCCAATCAGAGTTTAATATTTTTTAAATTTGCAGTTGTCCTTGGACTTAAAACATTAACCTATTTTGAGAGCACAAGTGATTCATTGTGCATAGAACATGAGTTTAAATGTTCTAAAGCTCAACCATTGGACCCACTTTTGGCTTTTAAAAACCCATTATTTTATGTTTATGCTTTAAATACCTTGCTAAAGAAAGACAAAAAATTTTCCTGGAAAGAGAGTAAGACATAAATAAGGAAATTTGAATGTGGGAAATACCATATAACAAGGAAAAGCAACAAAAGAATACAGTGGACCCCGCATAAACGATTACCTCCGAATGGCGACCAATTATGTAAGTGTATTATGAAGTGGTTTGTTCGTGTATGTTGGGGTCGAAATGGCTAAATCTCTTCACAATATTTCTTGGGAACAAATTCTCAGTACTGGCAACTGAACATTTTCTGGAGTGAAAAAATATCGTTAACCGGGGGGTCCACTGTACAATATGTATACTGTAATTTAAGAGATCACATAAATTATATCAAGATAAAGAAAGGGACTTAGGAGTCATCATTGTAAAGTTATTTGTCACTGAAAAATGAAAAACAAAATGCAAGAAGCAATATGCAACAGGTCAACTTTAAATACCCTTTTATATGGAGGGGAAAGGCTAAAAGAACTTTTTACGATATTTTTTTATTTTTAACACACAAGCTGTCTACCACCAAGGTAGTGAACCCCCCCCCTCCAAATGACTTTATAAAGAATTTTTTTTTCTACATTTAGCAATATATGCAGGAGAAGGGGGTTACTAGCCCCTTACTCCTGGCATTTTAGTCACCTTATATGACGTGTGGTGTGCTACAGAAAGATTTTTCTTCACTTCCCCATGAGGTTCACCACTTAGACCAAAATTGAAATATACAGCATTGGTATGGTGTTTGCACTTAAAAAAATCTAAACAAGCTAGGAAAAATTCACAAACTAGGAAATGGCTCCAACAACTTAAAGAAATGTGAGTACGACATTTTTGGCTAATAGGCAGAAAAGAGGAGAAATAACAATAAAGAACACAAAAGCATACATATAATTATAAGAGGATATAAGAAGAATTGACTAAGGAAAACTTCCTAACACCCATCAACTATTAGTACAAGATCAATAACAACAAACTAATTAAGATTAGCTCTTGAAAGGACACTCAAAAGTGTTTCTTCACAGTGTGGTAAGTCAGTGGAGTAATTTACAGGAGGGGTAGTAAGTGCTGCAACCACAGGAAACTTAAAAAATCTGTGGCTACATAAAAGTGCTTAGTGACTTGACACTCAGTACATATGAAACATAGCACTTAGGATTTTATGTACTGTGTAACTGCAGAATGACCTGGATGTGTTCCAGATTAATCAGTCTATAAGTGAATTTTATGTTAAGGAATTCCTGTTTTCCCATAGATAATAGTGTCATAATCAGAAATGTATTCAATGATATTAGTGTGCATACAGCATATCAGCTTTCTTAATAACACACAAGAAGTTACTCTACTCATGGAACAGTTGAAATTGAAACACACAGGCCAGTGTATTAACCACTGTACCATGTTTGCCTGTTAAGATTCTCCCAGCTAGGTCTATCTCTATAAACTAGGAATATTAGCATCAGGCACCACTATGACAAATACAGGTTTTTACTGACAAATCCCACCCCATTTCGTATGTTGTTTACAATTGTGTCGTTAGCATTGTGCAAGTCATATTTTAAGTGACTCTTGATCATGAATTCATCTTTCTTTCTAGGGCTGCTGAATTGCAACATGGTCTGTGGAGTGTCCCAGAATTTGACTGTAATGGGTTTGTGAAGAAATGGGTCATACATTATGCAGCTCCATTCTTCGGCTGGGATGCACTGAGATCTAAATTAGAGTTCAAGTAAGTTTCTTTCTCTCTTTCATACTACAGTACCTTCTGTATCTATTACCGCATATGAATACTGCTTTCTGTGTTCTCTGTATTTGAGTCAGAAATCTTACATTGGTTAATTCGTTTTTAAAAATGATAGTTTTTGTAAGTTTTTTTTTTTAACACACTGGACGTGTTCCACCGAGGCAGGGTGACCCAAAAAGGAAGTTTTTCTTTTTAATTTTTAATTTATGCAGGAGAAAGGGTTACTAGCCCCTTGCTCCCAGCATTTTAGTTGTGCCTCTTATGACACGCATGGCTTACAGAGGAAGAATTCTGTTCCACTTCCCCATGGAGAATAACATTTATTCTTATCATTTTTATCATGAATTTTGGGAAAATACAGTTGGATGAGAACATTTTCTGTGATGCTCATAGTTAAACTGAAAAGATATCTTGAGTTTGACAGCACAAATCCACTTTGAGCCCCATGCCCTGCTGTCTCTTGATACTTAAGGAGATGCAAAATTGTCATGCTTTTGGATATACTGTATAGGTCTACCTTGATATATGTTCAGAGATCTTTTCTTTCTTTCAACACACTAGCTGTATCCCACCAAAGCAAGGTGACCCAAAAGAAAAAACGAACAAGTTAATCCTTTTACATTTAGTAATATATACAGGAGAAGGGGGTTACTAGCCCCTTGCTCCCAGCATTTTAGTCGACTCTTACGACACGCATGGCTTATGGAGGAAGAATTCTGTTCCACTTTCCCATGGAGATAAGAGGAAATGAACAAGAGCAAGAACTAGTAAGAAAATAGAAGAAAAACCCCATAGGGGTATGTATATATATGCTTGTACATGCATGTGTAGTGTGACCTAAGTGTAAGCAGAAGTAGCAAGAGGTACTTGAAATCTTGTGGATGAATGGTTCAGAGAACCGACAAGTTGATAAATTAGACACATGTGCAACATTGGGTTCTTTATTGAGAAAACGTTCCGCCCCCACAGGTTTCACAGTCCATACAGGGGAAGGTGTTGAAGGCAGGAGGGTTTAAGTAACGTCCCTCAGCCTTGTCATGTGGCCGTCCATCATTCTTAAAAATAAATTTACGCTATGGCGAAGATTAGCTTTTAACTGTGGGCGGGAGGGTCAGCAGTGTAGGGGGATAAAGTTGCCCAGTGTGGAATTGGTCAAGCCCAAGGGTTAGGCTCACAGGGGACAAATGTGATACATCTACACTCTGCACCCTCTGCCTGGGGTAGAAGTACTTCTTTGCACATATGGTTTTCCATTTCAAGATTGTGGACAAACCCACATTGACTCAAGGCTGGGGGAAAATTACCTAAAATCCCCCTGTTCTTCAACGCTTCCTTTGTATGGATAAGAAGCACTGTGGGGAAAAATTTCCTAAAAAGATACCCTGTTGACATGTTCCGTTTTATCCACTGAATTTTAATTTTTGAGACAAAAAAGACCCCAGCAATCCTACCATATGTAAACTTTTAAGGCGTTGTTTTAACTCACTTGCAGGCTAGTACCCCCTGGTTGGTTGCTGTCTCCCAAAACCCTACTATTGGATTTTTCAGAGAGGGAGTAAAAAATTCCCATTTTGTTTTGAAACCTGAATGAGGTTTTAACCCCCTTAGTGAGGAACCAATTTTTTCAAGAAAATATTTTCTCCCTTAAATTTATTTACAAATATATTAAAGCCATTTAACATTAGGTAGTGGGTTTGGGTACACCCCCCCAGGAGGTACTCCCGTCGCAAGGAGTGTAAAACAAAGCCTGTGATGTTTACATGATGGTAGGATTCTGGTCTTTTGTCTGTCTCATAAATATGAAAGATTACGGGATGTTTGCTATTCTAACAACTTAGGTACACTAAAAAATTTTAAACATTTATTTTACACATCTTTGGTTTTTTCTTTGATTTTATCTTAATTTTTCTTGGTCTTATTAATTTCCTTTTTTAACCCAGGGGAAGTGGAATAAGAATTTTTCCTCCGTAAGCCAGCGTGTTGAAAAGTCAACAAAAATCCCGGGAACAATGGGCGAAACCCCCCTTTTCCTGTAAAGATTACTAAAAAGAAAAAAGAAGAAGAAAATTGTAAAGTGGGAAGTCGAATGTCGTGGATGTTGTGCAGATGATGAAAGAGTGATTTTGGTTAGAATGAGAAAAAAGGGAGTCCTGGCTTTAAGTAAACAAAGTGAAGGGGGTGGGAGAGTTCATGGAGAGGAATAAAGGGGTTAGGTCAGGGGTTTCAAATGAGTTAGAGCTAAAGAAGGAGTAGCAAAAAGTTAAGGATAAGTATGGCAGGAAAAAGGGCTATAAATGTATTATTTTAAATTAAGGGAGTAAAAAAGATTGGATGTGAAAAGGGGTTTTAATAAGCGTGTTGCCCTGGAGAAGAGAGAAGTGTAGGGAGAGAAGAGATTTTGGGAAATGTTAGTGAATGCGTGGGGGGGTTTTGAATCAATGTGAGAGAATGGTGGTGGGATTTTTTTGCTAAAGTGGGTAAAAAGTTATGGGGGTAGTAGTAAATTTGGGGGGTGCCCGGGGTAAAATGAAATGGGGACCTTTAATTGAGCTATGGTGAAGAAATTTTGGTAATAAATAATACTATTTTTGAAAAAGGGGATAAATAAATTAAAGGTAGATGTAGCACGAATGAAGTGTTTATTAGATTATGATTGGGGGATAAAAGGTTGTGGGTAGGCTCCAGGGGTACTGTTTATAGAGGGGGAACTGATTATCGGTCATTATTTAGTTGTAGCTACAGTTTGAGAAAAAGGTAGATGGAAAGAGGAAGTGGCAACAACAAATAAAAGGGAAGTGAAAGTGTATAAAAAGGAGGGGGAAATTGGGGGGAGATATAAGCGATGTTGGCAAAAGGGGGGCTAGTGCAAAGATGAGTAGGGGGGGGTTAAAAGGGTTGGAATAGTTTTTAAAAAAGCAGTATTAGAAAGTGGGGCAGAAGTTTGTGGTTAAGGGGGTGGGGGGAGGAGGAAAAAAGTGATTTGGGGGAATGATGAAAGTAAGGGGTATAAAAGAAAAAAGGAGCTTTTAGAGGTTTTTTTAAAAAAAAGAAATGTTATAAGAAGAGCAGGTTTTGGAGAGTAAAAGAAAGGAAAAGAGAGTGGTGAGAGGTGCAAAAGGAGAGCAGATGATGAGTGGGAGAGGCACTGTAAGAAATTTTATGAAATAAGAAAAAAATTTTGGGGTGAGTTAAAAAGTTTAAAAAAGCCTAGGGAAAAAAATGGATTTGTCAGTTAAAAAAAAAAGTGGGGGTTGTTTTATGGGGGGTGGAGGTATGGTAGATGGCGAGAAAATTTTTAGGAATTTTAAAAATTAAGGAAGAAAAAAGGGGTAATTTCATGCACGGTCAGGGGTTACATTTTTTGATGAAGAAGAGCGAATGAAGTGTGGGGGAGGTTCTGAGGGATTTGTAGAATGAAAGGGGGTTTTTAAAGCCTGGGGAAGATGGGACATGACAGAAAAAGTTAAAAAACAGGGGGGGGAAAAGTGTTGGAGTGGGTTTGGTACTTTTGTTTAATAAAGTATGAAAGAGGGGAAGGACTAGGGATTGGCAGAGAGATGTATAGTTTTTTTATAAAGGGGAAAAGGGGCAAAAGAGGGCTGTAAAAATTATAGAGAATTTAAATTATGAGTTACCAGGAAAAGGTACGGTAGGGTTAAATTGAAAAAAATTAAGGGGAAAACAGAATGAGGATTGCGGATGAAAGGAGGTTTTAGAGTGGGTGGGGGGGTTTTTGATCGGTGTTTACTTGAAGTTATGTGAAAGTATTTAGATAAAGAAAAGGAAATTTTTTTTGCATTTTGGAAATTTTGAAAAGGCATATGATAGAGTGGATAGGGGGAGCAATGTGGCAGATGTTGCAAGTATATGGAATAGGTGGTAAGTTATTAAATGCTGTAAAGAGTTTTTATGAGGATAGTGAGGCTCAGGTTGGGGTGTGTAGAAGAGAGGGAGACTACTTCCCGGTAAAAGTAGGTCTTAGACAGGGATGTGAAATTGTCACCATGGTTGTTTAATATATTTATAGATGGGGTTGTAAAGGAATTTAATGCTAGGGTGTTTGGGAGAGGGGTGGGATTAAATTATGGGGAATCAATTCAAAATGGGAATTGACACAGTTACTTTTTGCTGATGATACTGTGCTTATGGGAGATTCAAAAGAAAAATTGCAAAGGTTAGTGGATGATTTTGGGGAATGTGTGTAAAGGTAGAAAGTTGAAAGTGAACATAGAAAAGAGTAAGGTGATGAGGGTGTCAAATGATTTAGAAAAAGAAAAATTGGATATCAAATTGGGGAGGAGGGAGTAGGGAAAGAAGTGAATGTTTTCAGATACTTGGGAGTTGACGTGTCGGCGGATGGATTTATGAAGGATGAGGTTAATCATAGAATTGATGAGGGAAAAAAGGTGAGTGGTGGTTGAGGTATATGTGGAGTCAAAAAAACGTTATCTAGGGAGGCAAAGAAGGGAATGTATGAAAGTATAGTAGTTACCAACACTCTTATATGGGTGTGAAGCTTGGGTGGTAAATGCAGCAGCGAGGAGACGGTTGGAGGCAGCGGAGATGTCTGTTTAGGGCAAAGTGTGGTGTAAATTTATGCGAAAAATTTGGAGGGGTGGAAATTAGGAGAAGGTGTGGAGTTAATAAAAGTATTAGTCAGAGGGCAGAAGAGGGGTTGTTGAGGTGGTTTGGTCATTTAGAGAGAAAGGATCACAGTAAAATGACATGGAAAGCATATAAATCTATAGGGGAAGGAAGGCGGGGTAGGGGTCGTCCTCGAAAGGGTTGGAGAGGGGGGAAAAAGGAGGTTTTGTGGGTAAGGGGCTTGGACTTCCAGCAAGCGTGCGTGAGCGTGTTAGATAGGAGTGAAGGGAGACGAATGGTATTTGGGGCCCTGACGATCTGTTGGAGTTTTGAGCAGGGTAATATTTAGTGAAGGGATTCAGGGAAACCGGTTATTTTCATTAGTCGACTTGAGTCCTGGA